GTGCCTAGCACAAAACAGGTGTCCAATGAAGGCATGTTAATTTCCTTCCCAGCCCTGCCCCCTTAAGCTAGATGTCACCTTTCCGTTTGCAAACTTCCCTAGCACTTCTTCTACTGCACTTATCACTTCATGCCTCTTCATGGTTGCCTCCCTTATTAGATTAGAAGGTCCTCAAGGTCAGAATCTATATCTAACTCATCTCCATACTCCAGTGTCTTGTTTCAAATCTGGCATCAGTGCTAAAAAGGTTTATGAAAACACAGCTGAAACTGCATGGGTCTTTCTGTGTGGTAGGAAATATCATTACAGATGAGAACATTTGGCTCATTTGTATATCTATTAGTGTTGATAATTAATTATTGGGTTTCCGTGTATATAAGGAAAAAGAGAAAACATTGTAAGAAAAATCAAGAGAAGACACACAGAAAGGGGGAGTGAGAAGGCCCAGAGTGAGAGCAGCCCTGGACTAGCGGGAAGTTCGATTCGTCCTCCCCAGGACAAGAGCTTCCACACCCCCTTGCCCTACTGTGAGGTGAAGTCCATTCTCAATTCTCTTAGATTGGCCCCTACAGCTGGAGTCATTTGGGAGCCCCCTTCTGCTCATTCATTCACTCATAAAATACTACCTGAGCACCTACTATGTGTCATACATTGTGCTAATCATACATCAGGCTAATCAAAACGTACACATGAATCCTTATATCAATATGCTTATTTGTAGTAGAAGATGCATGATGTGCCAAATAGATATGCCATAAACAGTGTAGTTGGATATACAGTTGACCCTTGAACTATGACTGGAAGCCTTACCGATAACATAAACAGCCGATTCACAAATATTTTGTATATTATATACTGTATCTTTACAATAAAATAAGCTAGGGAAAAGAAAATGTTAATATATCATAAAAGAAATTACATTTACAGTATTTACTGAAAAACATTCACATATGCAATTCAACTCCTTGTTAAAGGGTCAAATGTATTTCTTTTTTTCCTCACATGAAGATATTTTCCCATTGCTTTTCAGAGAGAGTGGAAGGTTGAGAGAGATGTGGGGGGGGGGGAGAGAAAAAGAGAGAGAGAGACATTGATGTGAAAGACACATCAACTGGTTGCCTCCCACAAGTACGACTGAGGGGTGGGGAGTGAACTTGCAACCCAGGCACTTGCCCTTGACCGGGAATTGAACCTGCAACTATTCGGTGCATGGACCAATGCTCTAACCATTGAGCAACATAGACCAGGGCCAGATTTCATTTTTTTACAAAAGCTTTATTGTTGGAAGTATTACATATGTCCCTTTCCCCCCATTGACCCCCTTTAACCCGTCTCCCTGCCTCCCGCCCGCCCCCCCCCCAGGACTTTACCTGCCTTCCCTCTGAGATTCCACAGACTGTTAGATTTCCTTTTTTATAGCTGAGTAGTATTCAGTTGTGTAAATGTACCAGTTTTTTAAATCTACTCATCCACCTATGGACACTTGGGCTGCTTCCAAATCTTTGCTATTGTAAATAATGCTGCAATGAACATAGAGGTGCAAATACTAGTATTCTTTTGAATTAGTGTTTCATGTGTCTTTGGATATATTCCCAGAAGTGGAACTGCTGGGTCCATGATGATGTTTTAAAATAGGAATGTGTACAAGACCCTGCTTAGTAAATCCATGCTGGGCTGGAGGTGAGGAGAGAAAGACAAACTCTTTTTTTGATGGTCAGGGGAAACTTCAAAGGGGCAACTAACACTTGAGTTTTGAAAGATGAATAGGAGGTCCTCAGATAGGAATGAAACGGGGCAATGTGAAAGCAGGTCCAGAGGCAGAAAGGATGAAAGTGATGCTCTTTACAGGGCTGGAGTCCAGGGTCCATGTAGAACAGTGGTAAAGCCAAAAAGTAGAGACTGAATCAAGGCGTTGGATGCTGTGCTCAGAGGCTCGCAGCTTATCCTAAAAGCAGTGGAGAGCCTTGGATCACTTTTGTCACGAGGAATCAGAGCAGAGCTCTTACCCCAGAGCAGTCCTGTACTCAGGAGAGGTTGATAAACCCATTCATGCTGGAGCATAAATGACTCACAAGCTCTCAGGTAAAGAAAGTGAGCTCTGGGTTATCTACAGGCGAGAAGCAATAGGTGGGGATGGTATTTGCTGAGGGAACATGCTAGATATCACTGTAGGCATGACTGGCCTTTGTTTCAGGGAAAGACGCATTCATTCATTTTTTAGAGGAGGAAGAACTAATCTCTGTTTCTGTCTTTGTCTTCAGAATTCTTCAGATCTGTCTCTGGCATCTGACAGGGACCGTTTTTTGGGGAAACAGCACCCTCTAGAGCAGCGGTTCTCAACCTGTGGGTCGTGGGGGTCAAACGACCCTTTCACAGGGGTCGCCTAAGACCATCGGAAAACACATATATAATTACATACTGTTTTTGTGATTAATCACTATGCTTTAATTATGTTCAATTTGTAACAATGAAATTGGGGGTCACCACAACATGAGGAACTGTATTAAAGGGTCGCGGCATTAGGAAGGTTGAGAACCACTGCTCTAGAGGAAAGAGTATGGGTGTTTCAGGTGGGACAGTAACCACCATTTCTGGAGCTTTGGCTTGCTCCCTTCCCAGGGGTCTGGCCAGCTGGGAGTGGAGTGTAGCTGATTGTTATCTGCTCCTGACTCTTCTCACTGCTGAGAACAAAGATGCTTGGCTGTGGGTGGTGGCACAACAGCTGGCAGGACAACAGCTGGCAGCTGCAGATAACAGCTGGAGGAGGCAGATCTAAAGGCTGGCAACAGCAGGCACAAAGCTGGAGGTGGCAATCACAACAGTATTAGCCAGTAGCCCACATCTCCAGTGCCCACAAGTCAGTGGCCGTAACAGTAGCCTCTAGAAGCTCCAGGCCCTGTCTTCTCTGTCTCAGCTGTGATCATCCATACAGGGTACCACAGAGGCACCTCCTGAAAACACAGACCCATAAGAGTGAACCTGGGGAACACAGAAGCAGTTGCTATGACAAAGTTCTGGACCAGGAGCCAGAAGATCAACTCTACCATTAACCTACTTGGGGCAAATCTTTCTGAGCCTTAGTTTCTAATGAGGCCTTTCCCATTACCTCATGGTGGGGGGCGGATCAAATTACATATTTTATAAATCGTAAAGTGCTCTGTAATCAGAGACCATTATTTTGGTAATAAGCAAGGCTTTCCTTGAGTTCCAGGAGCTTCCATTTCCCCAGATATGTAGAATCTCTGCTCAGCACAAATAAAGCTGGACTTTGATAAAGAATCCCTAAATGTCACCATAGGAAGTGTCTGGGTAGAGATGGGCAGGCATTCTGATTCTCCGTGAGTGGAAGCTTAAAGACAATCTTTCAATCTCCCAACCAAAGCTTTCATCTCCTCAAAAGCACTCAGCTAACTTATCATTGAACACCCCCAGGAATAGTGCAATCACTACCTTTTGAGAAGCTCTTTCCATATTTGGATGCACTGATTGTTACAGTGTTCTTTGTCATATCAATATAGAATCCGTCCCCCTGTGGTTTGCACTCACTGCTTCTGTTGTTTCTCTTGGAGCTCAAGAAAAGTCCAAATCCGTTCACGTAACCGTTCAAACAAAATATTTGCACACAGTCATCATATCCCTCAGATAATTTATTTTCCTGATTAAACTTCCATTTCCTTCAACCATTTCTTATATGATCCGTTCTGAATCCTCTCCTATCCTGATTGTTCCTTGATACTCGAGAGTGCAGGTGTGGGATAAACAGAGCAGAGCAGAATCATCTACTTCCTTATTCTACTTTAATTCAATGAGAGTAGCCTAAGATTGCATTGCTTTTCTGGCAACCAAAACACATAGGTAGTTCATACATGATTATTTTCTGCCAAAATTTATTTCCATGGTTCTGCTTTCTAGTCCAGAACTTGCGCAGGTAATTTTGGACACAAATATGTAACCCAACATTTATCCTTTTTGTTAGATTTGGCCCGCTCATCTGTCTTCTTTTGGGTCCTAATTCTGCCCCCGACTTTGCATTCAAGATCTGTCCCAGCTTTGTGTCATCTACATAATTGATGGCCATGTGTAAAAGGGCAAGTCCAAAGATAAAGTTTTCTGGTACATCACTAGAAAACTGATTCCAGGCTATCATAATGCACTCACCAGTACCATTTGATTTTTTATTTTTAACTCACCTACAAGCATGCTGTTCATTTTTCTCTGTCATATCCCCAAGGACATGAGAGATCTTGTAAAAAATCTTGCTTAGATATGCTTTATCTATTGCATTTATCTAATTTGCCAATTTGGTGACCTTGCTATAGAAGTCAATTGTTAGTTTGATGTAACTTGTTCTTAGTAACCCATGGTGGGTCCTACTGATAACTGCCTTTCCTCCACCCTACCCAAGTATTCACAATCTTAATGCTCCATCTAGAATCTTGTCTAGGATCGATATCTCGCCTGTTTGTCTGTAGTTTGTGAAATGTACCTCATTTTTCTTTTAAAATACATTTTTTGTTTGTTTTGTTTTCAGAGAGGGAGGGAAAGGGATAGAAACATCAATGATGAGAATCATTGATTGGCTGCCTTCTGCACACTTCCTACTGGAGGATCAAGCCTGCAATCTGGGCATGTGCCCTGACCGGGAATTGAACCATGACCTGGTTTACGGGTCAATGCTCAACCAATGAGCCACACTGGCCAGCCTCCCCCAAACCCCCATTTTTCTTGAAATTAAAATGTTCACTCATCCACAGCTTTCCACCACCTCCTCTGTTCTCTAGGAGTTTCTAAAAATCTCTTATAGAGGTTTTCCATCTTTTTGAAAGTTTGAGGACCAAATGAGAAGGCATACTAATGTACAAACTTTAAAATATATAGATGCAGGCATTGTGATTTTTTTAAAAATATATTTTTAATTGATTTTTACAGAGAGGGAGAGGGAGAGTTAGAAACATCCAGAGAGAAATATCGGTTGGCTGCCTTCTGCATGCCCCCTACTGGGGATCAAGCCTGCAAACAAGGTACATGCCCTTGACTGGAATCAAACTTGGGACCCTTCAGTCTGAGTGCTGACGCTCCATCCACTGAGCCAAACCAGTTAGGGCGTGATTGTTTCTTAATTTACTACTACTGAGTACTGAATGGGACTTTACTGGGGCTCTACATAAGAATTCTTTAAACTTCAGAATTATAGAGCTTCCCTTTTGCACCAAAGTAGCTAAGATATTGGGGGAGCGGATGACATGCAGGTCTGGCTGAATAGTCACTCAGGCAAAAGTGTCAAGTGAGTGGGGGCTGGTAAAATGGGCTCCTGGTTGTCTCTGAACATTCTGGGATTTTCATTCATTATAATCTCTAATTTAGTGCCTACTTGGGTGGATATATGACTGGACCCAAAGTAATTGGTTCTCAAGGCATAAGACCATGAAGATATAGTGAAGAATGATAAAATGCAATGGCTCAGACTTCTCAGAGAGGAGAATGTGATGAGCCTCTCTGTTCTCCAAGAAGGACCAAACTCTGCAGAGAACACTCTCTCATTCAAGAAGATCTGGTCATCAGTTTCAGGGTCAAAGGGTTCATGTGATTAAAAAATTCTCTCTCTCAAATCAATAAAATGTTTTTATAAACATTTTTCTCTGCTGGAAAAGCACAAGTTAGTTTTGGGGCAGGGGTGCCAGACGCCTTAAGTGAGCTGTCTTCTATTTCAGAGCCTGTCCCACTTCCTACTATTGGACATATAGTAATCCCAAATTTAAGCTTGTGCAGACATAGCCACTAACATACACTCTTAATCCTCCTACTCACTCAGTCAAGGAAATTTTGCCACTTCCAATCTGGCATTTCTCCCAGTCCTTGGGGAAATGGATTGTTGCTTCTCCTCCACCATTGCTTATTTCTTCTACTCTTTCTGTCCTGCCTGTGTTCTTCCTAATACTACCCGACACCAGCCCAGCCCAAAGTTCCCCAGATCATGCAAATAAGTGATGATGGTGGTGATGATACTAGTAACTTATACATAGTGAAATGGGCTTGGTGCTTAGAGAACATCTTGAAGGGCAGAAGAATGGGCAGTTTCTGTTATTTTCTGAGCTAGATGAATATCTCAGTATCAATATTGACTTGGGGCTAGGACAAAAAAAATGGAGAGATTAGGGTGTGTGTTAAGGGGGATTGGCCTGCAAGGATCTCAACAGAGTAGTTATTCTTGCTGATGTTATTCATGAGGGTGAGGAGGGATTTCAAAATTAGACACCTTCACAGAATTGGTTTTGTGATGGAGACCAGTAGAGGCCCACTTTCCTCTGGCACCATCTTCAAGGAACTGTGAACTTATTACTCTTTCCTCTCTGCCTTTCCTAAGATATACAAATATTAGAATGTATTGTAATTGTTTACTGAACACATCTCTCTCACTAGACTAGTTCTTGGAGAGCAAGGATGATGTTGTTTTCATCTTTGGCTTACCAGCATCTTGCACAGTGCCTGGCATATAGAAAGTGCTCAATAAATATTTGCTAATAAGACAACAAATCAGTGGTATCAAAATGAATGTTACTTCTTCCTTCCCATGGGGTGGTGGCTAGGAGTTGGCTGGATTTCTGCAATAACCTCCATTATACTGTCTTGCTCCCTCCAGATGACATCAGTTGCCAAGGTATATTACAGTCAGACCACTCAGACAGAAAGCCGGCCCCTAATGGGCCCAGGGATACGACGGCGAAGAGTTCTGACAAAAGATGGTCGCAGCAATGTGAGAATGGAGCACATTGCTGACAAGCGCTTCCTCTACCTCAAGGATCTGTGGACAACCTTCATCGACATGCAGTGGCGCTACAAGCTTCTGCTCTTCTCTGCAACTTTTGCAGGCACCTGGTTCCTCTTTGGCGTGGTGTGGTATCTGGTGGCTGTGGCCCACGGGGACCTGCTGGAGCTGGGCCCCCCAGCTAACCATACCCCCTGTGTGGTACAGGTGCACACACTCACTGGGGCCTTCCTCTTCTCCCTTGAATCCCAGACCACCATTGGCTATGGCTTCCGCTACATCAGTGAGGAGTGCCCACTGGCCATCGTACTTCTGATTGCCCAGCTAGTGCTCACCACCATCCTGGAGATCTTCATCACGGGTACCTTCCTGGCAAAGATTGCTCGGCCCAAGAAGCGGGCTGAGACCATCCGTTTCAGCCAGCATGCGGTTGTAGCTGCCCACAATGGGAAGCCTTGCCTTATGATTCGAGTGGCCAATATGCGTAAGAGCCTTCTCATTGGCTGCCAGGTGACAGGCAAACTGCTTCAGACCCACCAGACCAAGGAGGGTGAGAACATCCGGCTTAACCAGGTCAATGTGACTTTTCAAGTAGACACGGCTTCTGACAGCCCCTTCCTCATTCTACCCCTTACCTTCTACCATGTGGTAGATGAGACCAGTCCCTTAAAAGACCTCCCCCTTCGCAGTGGTGAGGGCGACTTCGAGCTGGTGCTGATCCTAAGTGGGACAGTGGAATCCACCAGTGCCACCTGCCAAGTGCGTACTTCCTACCTGCCAGAGGAGATCCTTTGGGGCTATGAGTTCACACCTGCCATCTCGCTGTCAGCCAGTGGCAAATATATAGCTGACTTCAGCCTTTTTGACCAAGTTGTGAAAGTGGCTCCTCCTAGTGGCCTACGTGACAGCACTGTATGCTATGGAGACCCTGAAAAGCTCAAGCTGGAGGAGTCATTCAGAGAACAAGCTGAGAAGGAGGGCAGTGCCCTCAGTGTGCGTATCAGCAACGTCTGATACCTTGGTTTCCCACCTCCCTATCCCTCTAGTCTCGCTTCCTTTTTGGCACTCTGGGTGAGGATATTACCCAGGCTTACTGAAGAGTTCCAGAAGCACCATTCTCCACTCCCTCTCCTTTAACCCAGTGGCCTGTGGGTAGTCTAGGCCAACTGGAGTCCAATTTTTCCTCCCATTGTCCCCTTTCACCTCACCCACTTCCACTGCATTATTACCGCCCCCTCCACCCTCCTTAAGCCAGGATGGAGGAAAGAGAGGGAAGATTAGGCTAAAAGGCTTAGAGGCTTCTGGCATGCTTGGAGACTCACATTAGAAGGACCATGCAGTTGGATGGACAGATTCCCCCTGACCTACCACCACCACCAGAGATTTTGGTCATTTGAGGCTGGAGTCCCCTCCTTCTCTAACTTTTATCTAACAAGTTCCCTAAGGCAATACTCTGATGATCCCCTTAAGGTCTGTGTCCTCAGAAATATAAAAATCTGGAATCGATTTATACTGGGGTCTCCACCAATCTGTGGAAAGAAGTCATGGTTTTTCCTGGTGAATTTCTGTTGGCAACTCCTGACTTAACTAAAGACCTTGGTCACAACCCGTTTTGCTTTTTTTAGTTTCTAAAGTGGACCATCAGGATACCCAGTTATTTCATAGATGCCTCTGCTCCCAGGGAATTGGGATGACCCAGGAAATAGAAAACCTATAGTCACAACCACCACACCTGCAACCATCCTGGATTCTGAACTCTTCAGTGTGGAGTGACCACTGCGAAGCTATTGTCCAAATCCTTGAACCTGTCCTTCAGGTAGCCCTAAGAGGATTGGTTTCTCTGTGTCCTATGAATGGGATGCCCCTCACCAATATGCTCCCCTGAAAAATGCCAGTGCCTAGACTCCATGGTAGGTCTGGAAATGGTGTTCCAAAGTACACTGTCCTTGGCTTGCTTCTCTTCGTTCCAGCCCAACCCACTCTTCCCTTAACCCCAACACTTCAGAGGGAGGGAAAATGCAAGAGCCTCTCTCTCTTAATACTGATGTTTGACTAAAACTACACTCACAGAGCAGAGTTCCCAGGAAAGTTAAACCAACCAGACCAAGTAGGATGAGTATATTATCAGATTTCCAGACTGTTGTATAGAGCCTCTGGGAATTGGGGATGCTTTGTTTAAGTCTGGACAGAAGCACAACTCTGGCTGGCAGTTACCCCTCCCAGTTCCCATCTGAAAAGTGCCAACTATTTCATTAGGTAATGCTGGGAAAGGAAATGATACCTCCTGGTTAAATAACCACGGTCTCCCTCAGTCATTCCTGAGACGTGTTATAAAATGAGCATAAATCTCATTTTTACTTTCCTGTGCCACGAGGCCAGTTTCAGACAAGTTAAAAGGCATAATTTCAGAGATCAGACTCAGGCCATGCCTTGTTTCCTGCTGGGAACTGTGGCAGGGGTCAGGAAGGGCATAAGGGCACCAGAACTTTTTCTAATACCCCAAATCCCAAGAGTGCTTCTTGATCTCATTTAGGTACAAAGGAACCCCACCCCCAACCCCAATGGTTTGGCATAGAGTCCCTGTATGAATCAAGTGGCAGTTTATTTAAGGTGGACTCAGCCAACTGTTACAAGCTACACACTTCTACAGAATATGTACATACATCTATGTGCAGAGCCTTGCAGAGAAACTCATAAAATTTTGAGGTGGACTTATGGTCACCAGTTACTACAGCTGCACAAGATTCTCTTACATTGATCTCTTCTTGAACTCTAATTATATCTTGAAAATGAAGACCCTTTGTTCTCCATTTACTGTAAACCCCCCGCACCCCCCTCTTCCCTCCCTTGTTCTTAAGAAAGAAAGAACCAGAAAAACTTGAAAGTCTAAACAGAATAGAAGGCAAAGAGCCAGTTTCTGGGCTCTCAACTTTATTCAATGTTAGACTTACTGGCTTTCTTCCAATGGGTAAGGGCAAAAAGTACTGCGTGTATATATATATGTCTTCTTATCCATTAACAAGTTAGCCTCCATCCAGTTTCTCCTGCACACTGCTGCTTCCCTTCTGAGGGAATCGCACTCTTCCCACCCTCTGATGTCTATTCTAAGGCCCCAGATTCTCCTCTCATTGGATAACAAAATGAGAATATTTTCTGACTTTTTGATTCTCCTCTATGATCCCAGACTTTGCTCTAAATTGCACTTTAAATCATACTGTCCTTTTAATACAACCTGCTTTATTCTCCCATAAGCCCCCCTCTTCTGCCCTCCAGAACAACACCCCCATTCAACCCTAAATGGTTCTTCAGACTATAGCCCCCATCTCTTCTGAGCTGAAATCCTCTTTTAGGCTTTAGAAGCAGCCAGGTCTGGTGAGAAATGAAGCCCTTAACCACACCAACCATGGACTTGGCATGTCAGGAGAGCATTAGGCACAGATGTTAAGGGGGGAGATTTCAGAAGATGGGCAAAACAACTGATGAGAGCAAAACAAAAGATGAGAAAGTGCACTATTGAGGGACTTAGTGAAACTGATGAAACCCTTGAGTTTTACGTGAGCTAGCAAACAAGAGGCAGGTGGAGGCTCAGGAAATTAGGATATGATATGAAAGGTTTATCTAGAGAAACAGATCATATATATATATGTATATAGAGAGATGTATATAGGACCAAATATATTGAATGTACAGAAAGGAAATGTTCAGAGATTTTAGCACAAGGCAAATATCTTGCTCTGGTTTTGGGGTAGGGCTCCCCAGATTTCCAAACTTAACAGTGATGCTAGTTTTAATATGAAAGTGATCTGAAGAAGGCTTTCAGGTGTGATTATGGCAGAGTGGTGCAAGATTCTCTTCAGAAATAAGAGGCATCCACTGAGGCTTTTCATAAAGCCTGTGTTGCTGATAGGACCAGGGACACAGGAGGAAAAGGGGACACTCCATCCATAGAAATCTAGGAGAATCCCTACTTTTACTGTGTGCTCCTATCCTCAGAAGTGGCCTGTCATTGTGCACTTTTAAAAATTTTAAATAAAAGCATCCTTCTGTTTCCCTCTCTTGAAGTACAATGAATTTCCTCTTTTTCCACAAGGGTGGGGCAAATGCAGCTCCAGTCCCTGGAGGCCATGGCTCAACTGCGAAGCTGAACCCTTTGGTGTGTGGAGGCACTAAAGAGGAGCCTTGACCCTAGAATCTAAAAGCCAGGATGAAAGAGGTGTTGGGTCCAAGATATTCCAAAGGCAGAGGCTCGCCCTCTATGTGGCTGCAAGAAGCCCAAAGAGAATGCTGCCTGTGCTAGAGGTATCCTGAGTCCCGGTCCTACAGTTGGGCATGGGGGCAGAGTGCTTTGGCTTTGATGCTTCTGTATGAAAATGAGTGGGGTACCAGCTGCCCTAGTGGATTGTGCAGTTACATGAGAGGCTTCTGAGATCCCTACTCTGTGCTTCACCTCATTATTCCCTCAATCTCTGTCAGCTAATAAGATCATCCTGGGATTTCCATAAGACCTTAGCAGAGAAAGGAAGACAGTTTTACTAGTGCTACAAGCCAGGGACACTGCCCCCTCCCCAAGGCTGCTACCCTGGTCCTTTATTTGTGCTATTTAACCTAATTTATTTGTAAAATAAATGTTTGCGGTAAAGTTAGCATGGGCCTCCAGGTTCAGTAATGGCCAACTCTACTGAAGCAAAAGTATCTAGGGATAGTTTTCCCAGCCATTGCATCCAAGACTAAAGTAGGTCAAATTTACCTAGAAAAGAGATGTGTGAGGATTTTTTGGTTTATTTTTGTCTGTTCAGAACAAGCTACTAAATAAAATGGATGAATCTCTGTTCTTCACTCTAGCTTCTTTTGGAAATCCAAACCAATCTATGATTAAGGCCTGAACTCACAGGCCTACCTGGAAAGAAGACTGAATTTGGCTGTGCTGGAAGAATTTATGATCATGTAGCCACACCTGTTCCCTTCATTGCTAGTATCCATTCCTGCTACACCTTTCCTATACCTTCCTTCATTAACTTTAGGGTCCTTTAGTAAACACCTTTCAAATTCAGTTTTTAAAGGACAAGATTTTTTTAAGACCCAGAAATCTGAAAATTGGCTCAGCTTAATCCAGGAAAGTCAAGTAGCTTTGGATACTGGGCATTGTCCCTTTGCCAGTGATCACATGCCCAATTTCCCTTCCATGTTACCATAGAGACATTCCTCAAGGCTCTATAAGCCTAATCAACTAATTGTTGGGTATTTCTTCCCCCACGTCTCAAAGGAATGGATTTCCCTCCTATTCCTATTTGTCACTAACCTGAAAAAGGCCTGGTTCAATATCTAGTCCTAAATTCTCTCTGACAAGAGCAACAGATACCAGTCACTGACTCTTGTTCCCCAGAAATGGAAAGACCGAGGAGAAAATTGGGACTCTTATCATCATCATCAATAAAATACTTATCTACATTTGGAAAACACTAGTTCACAGATGAATCATACGACATATGTGATATATAAGATATATGAAATACAGTCCCTTAAAGTTTAAGAAACTTACAAACTTGTGAGGAGGGCAAGCTAAAATAGCAAGTAGCATTTACTAAGGGCCAGATATACCATTAACATGTTCCAAATAGTGAGATCTCTATGGAAAACATTTCACAGGGACAGGTATTAGGCAAGAGATGGTATCAATCTAATAGTTCTGGTTAGAACACATTTAACATAAGATTCAAGAAAAATCAGCAAATACTGAGTTCCTGTTAGGTGGAAGGTACCATTCAAGTAATAAATAAATAAAATACATGATACACACCATAAAGGGATGCACAATCATATTAGAATTTGCACCTGCTTCTATGGAACGATCCCTACTGCTTGCCAACCCCCAACCTTGGTAACTCTCACTATGCCCATCTTAGACCAAACCCATTAAAAGCTATCATTACACCCTGTATTCCTTTCATAGTTCTTACCACAGCTGCAATTTTATATTACTTGTAAATTTATTTGCCTGATGTTTGTCTTGCTCAGACATTAAATGCCATGTAACTGGGATTCATGTCAGCATTTGATCACCATGAACCTAGTGACCAAGCCCAGCACTTAGCACAGCACCTGCCATGTATGATGCTCAACAAAAGCAGCAAAAGAGGGAGGGAAGGAACTTGCCTAAAGTTCACACAACTAGTATACCAGAGTTAGTATATTTGTTAAACAACCATAAAAGACTTATATATTTCATAAGGCATGGCATAATCAGCTACTAAAAAAATAGAACAGACAATAACACCACTGTTTGGGAGAGAGATCATTTCCACTTGTGAAGGTCTGGGAAGAGTTTACAGAGGAGTTGAGGTTGGAGTTTAGCATTAAAGGACAAATAGTATTTAAATAAATGAAGAGAAATACAATTCCTTGTAGGTGGTACAGCATGAGCAAAAGTACTGTAGGAAGAAAGCACAAGGCATATTTAATGGGTAGTTAATAAACCTAG